CGAAAAATGACTGTGTATTCTGAATTGTTATTTTAATAATATAATATAATATCAAATATTATAACAATTATTATTTATATATAATAATTAGGAATTATTGCAGTCTTATATTTTTTTTATTTATAAAAATTTTTTAATTCAAAAATAACTACTATACTTTATATATATATATTGTTATAAATTATAGTTAAGTAATTAAAAAAACGATTACTATGTATTTCTTTCAAAATCCACAAATCAACATTCAAACAATTTTTTCCATTTTTTTGTGTTATTATTTTTATTTTTTTCAACCATCTCTAATAACATGTACTATATTTTGATTTAATTTGAATATTTTTTAATTGATAAACAGTTTTAAAAGATATTTAACAATTCAAGTATAAAATATGTTGACTAAATTGTTTTTAATAAAATTTTAATTAAAAAACTATTATAAATATAAATATATCATTACAAATTTGAATAAATTAAAACATTAAAAAGATTTTTTTTTATTTTGTCAACTTTGAAACAAAAAATATTTAACTAACATTTTTGTATAATAACATTATTACTATCAAGTACTATTTGTTTTAACTTTCATCAATTACAAAAAGAAAGATATTGAATGTTCCTTCACCACAGCCAAATATCTAAAATTTTTGTTTATTTTGTCTCTATGGCTCGACTTATAAACTTTTTTAAAACACCGTCGAACGAATCCTTCTTGTTGTAAAATTGACTTCTTTCTAAAACAAAATATATATAAAGTGAACTGCATATTTCAAAGACAGTCTCTTGCTATCTGTAAAATCAATATATCATTGATTTGTTCTGTTGTTCCAATCATTTTGAAAATCTCAGCTCTGTTTATTAAAGAAACCAGAGAATTTGCTATTAACAGGTTGATACACTGTTTGATACTTTTTACTGTGTTTTTATAGTTTAAAGTATCAAAAGCAAAAAAACTTTTTACATTGGTAACTTTTTTTTCTCCAATTAAAAAACTACAATTTATAATAAAAATTATCATTGTTTCAAAATTATTATAGTTGTTTTATTTATTTAAACTTTTTTTGATAAAGATAAAAATCAAAACTATTTAACTAAAAAATGTTTGTTTTTTACTAAATTTTAATTATACTAAAAATAAAACAATGGAGCAAACAGACATAAACTCTTTTCTGTTTTTTTGTGTTGGTTTTAATTTATTTGCGTTTTTTTATTAACCAAATTACTAATTATAATTATTATTATTATTATTATTATTATTATTATTATTATTATTATTATTATTATTATTATTATTATTATTATTATTATTATTATTATTATTATTATTATTATTATTATTATTATTATTATTATATATTTTATCAAATAATCATTACATTAAATTTAATAGTAAAATTAAACCATATTAAATGTGACATAATAAAAAATTGAGGAAACACAAAAAAAAGAGATGGACGAAACGAATGAAGTTGAAACACTCCTTCGGAGGAGTTTAAGCAAAAATGACAATGAAGAAAACATCGCCAAATTTATTAATTCATTCAAAACGTCATCACATTTCAAATCACATCGGCAAGTAGCGGAACGAGTGTGCAAATATATTGAGTCTCACAACGCCACGAAAACTGTATTAGAAAAAATCTATTCTCAAATCCCACAATTTGTAATAGCGCTTGAAAAACATTTTTTGGAACACCCGTCACATGGTACCGTCACGGTTACCTTTCAATGCCCCTTTTACTTTGTCTTTGACACAATTGACACTCGCGACGTTGTCGCGTTCATAAGTGGGTGCCTTCGTGTATCTGCGAATTTGTTGTCGAAGCACTTCTATAAGCTCCGCGGCCCATTTTTTGAGCTCTTACGAACTTTCCTCCAGTATGATTGCTGTCGGACTCCATTTATATCCGAGTGTGTCTCCGATATCTTTGACACGATCGGTGTCAGTCAAGTAGTAATGAATACCTCCTTTTTCAAAGTCTTTGCTGAGTGGCTCTTTTTGAACCGGGATGGACTATTGAGGAATTCCGTCAAGCGTGTATTAGAGGCGACGCCGCTTGAGACTGTGTTTATATCGAGGGATGTTGTATTGAGAGGGATATACCCAGGCCTCTCTCCGGAGATGTTCCACCTGATGGTGAGCCTATTAAGTGCGAAGCAGTTGAGTTCCAACAATGAAAAGTTTGAGACCTGGAAAAGACGGCCAACCGATTTCTTTGAACTCTTTGCGAAAAGTCTTTGTATTGGAAATAAAGAAGACGTCATATGGTTGTTGCGAAGTCTCGGGAGTGACGACGGCGCCGACGATTTTTTACTTACAGTTATAACGGACGTTTTTCGCGAGATGAAGAACAACGCAAATTTCTCGACGGCGCGGATCGTCGAGAATTGTTTTGCTGTATTAGTCTTCTTAAATGAGAACACACAGAAGTACGAGAAAGCCCTTGCGGAAGGCGTGGTGTTCCTCCGCGATACTATTAAAGAGACGATATCATCATTAGTCAAAAACACGAAGCGTCGAGATGGGGTTGAGTTCTTCAAATCACTGCAGTACATCTTTGTGGAGATGGCGAGCGACGACAAAATCACTTTCGACGACGACAACATCTTTTTTACGACGATTTATGAACAGTTGAAAACACTTCTGTATATGTACATAGCTAATCCGAAGGGCAACAAAGAGGAGATCGACTACTTGTTAAGCTGTCTGTATATAGGACACACAACGGTCTCGAGAAAGGTCAGCGAGTTTGTGATGTCGTGCGACAAGAACGACGTTATCATGAAAAGCTTCATCTCGCACTTCCCGCAGTTCATCCCATATAATCTGGAGAAGTCCAGAAAGTACTTTACAAACGTGTATACCAGTCTATTGGCGTTGAATATCCAACAAGACCAATTTCTGGTACTTGGAGAGGTGTTCTGCTATTTGTCGCAATGCTTCTGTAATAAAGAAATGCGACGAGATAAGGTGGGTGGTACAAACGATTTGATTGAAGGAAAGAAAGAAGGGGAGTGTGACTGCCGAGTCAGATGTCCACTGTGTGACTATGAAAAGAGAGATAGGTCTGTTGTAATGATTATACCAACAGACTTTGTGGTGGATGGAACACTGAAAACGATGGAACAGATGACAAGTAACTGCTTTCAAAGGGACAGTCTCTTTTTTTGTCATCGAAATAAACTATGTCTGTCATTCGCGAGACTTGTTGCCCACATTAAAATGGGAGCAAAGGAAAAGGTGGAGACTTTCATAACATTGGTTACCAATCTGAAGAACGTGGAATACACAAATGAATGCGTCAAAACCCTTCGAATCATATTTAGATTTACGGCAATAGTATCTGTGAATTTGGACAATACCAATCCATTGTGGTATTATACAATTATTGTACAAAAGCTCTTTGACAAGGAGGATGTGAGAGATCGACTTGTGATATATCGTATCATTTTAGAATTAATAGGGGAGTTTGGTTCAGTCGAGATAGGGATCATCATTGAGCATTTATTGCAAGACAAAATGTTCTTTGAGAACAGTGTGGTTCGTGCGCGAGTGCTTGAAGTTCTCAAGAAATGTGCTGCAAAGGAACATGCCAAGACGGTTGAAGAACTCTTCAATTTACATCGGGAATTGGACAAGACGTTATTCATCATGTCGAGAAGACCATATCGTGACATCTTCGAGAAGTACTTCATTGAAGAGAGAGGTGGGGGCTTCGAAAAGTTCATTGAAATGAGGAAGGAGAGTGTATTGCCCAAACTTGTCTATGAAGATCTCTCGAAGACAAAAGAGATGGAAGATAGTTACTCTATAGACATCCGTGAAGTCACGCGAATCGACTGTTTTACTACCTACAAGAACTTTATTAACATCAGGCTGCAGATCTATTTCAAAGTCTTTCATGACTGGGTATCGAAGAATGCAATTGACAAATTAGAGAATGTGTTGCGGGAATATTCGAGTCTCTTTTCTTCTTTAGGCCAAGCCGCGCAGGCACAAATAGTGGAGTTGTTAAAGAATGACAAATCGAGCATTTTTGAACACTTTTTATTGCGAACGAATTCGTCGCTGTTTCCACAGACCAAAATAGTACTTGAAAAGGTGTATCAAAGTCTCTTGCCGGAATTGAATAGCGAAATTAAGAACACTCCAATTGGCCCACTGGAGTACGTCAGTACAAAGTATAGTCTTCTCTTTGTGAATCGCGTCCGTTCTGTCTTGGGGATAGCGCCGGTCTCAGAGAACGTGTTTGGGTGGAACGATGGGTTTAACGCAGTGAAACGATTTTTGGAATTGAATGGAGACGTCACGCGGATACGGTACATGATACTGAAGATCATCCGACAGTTCACGGAGAGAGTGTTGAATGAGAATGGGAACAACAGTCGATATGTCGATATTCTCCATATGTTGCGGCGGATGTGTATCTTCAAAACGTGTCCAGAGATAGCTGTGGAGATTGCATTAGAGACGCTTGAGATATTTAACAAGAACAAGCAGAGTGAAGATGTCATTACAATAGTGTGTGAGATCTTGAATGACCTTCAAACGTGTAGTAAAGAGATAGTTGGTATTCTCCCGAATTTTGGCGTTGTTGGGAACACCGAATTTCTGTTTGAAGAGAACGCGGTGAAGTTCAAGACGATTCTTAGTGTGTTAAAAGAGTCGAAGTCGAGTAAGACAAAGGTCTATTTGTTGCATAAGGTGTATCTCTTTTTAGAGCAAAATGAGAGCAACATCTTAGCGTCTTCGTATCGCGTCGAAGAGCTGAACAAAATCATCAATTTGTTGTATCACATCAGTCGTGGGAAGAAAGAGATGGAACATGAAGTCGGCAAAATCTTTGGATTAATTGGGGCAATCCCGCCCGGGAAAATCCGGATCGAGCCCCTCGACAACTTTGAGAAGATGATCAATGCTCGGAAGAAGGATATAGTTAATGAACTATTAGGGAATTATTTATTACGTGAATTGATGGAGAGAGGGGGGAGTGAGACGTTGTTATATGTGATCATGGGATTAGTGAAAATGGCTGAGAAGATGGAAGATATTCCGAATCGGAAGAACTTGATAGTGACCAATTTGACACAAGAACAGAATGATATTGTCCAATTGATTAACAACTCGTATATGTCAATTAACACGACGGCGGATGTGAAAATTGGGTTTCCCCCAGAGCAATTTCTGGACAACAAAAGTACAATGAGGTACTACGAGTGGGTTCTGTCGATACTCTCTGAGATCATTCGACGTCTTAGAAGTGAAAAGGTGAGAAGTGATGAAGCTGATATCTTTGAGTATTCCTTGTGGATTGTCAAAGAACCAAAATTTGCGTGTCAGTTCAAATTGATTCGATACATCTTCCCATTAGCACTCTTAAACATGATCGTGTCGTGTTCCTTGGAAACCAAAAATTTGTTCTTGAAAGAGATTAATCGAGTCTTGGAAATCATCGGGGAGAGGGGAAATGAGACGGAAACGAATATCGACGAGGTCTTTGCAGCACAACTGATCTTCGAGTCGATCGACTTTATGAATTTGCTTGACGACAAAACACTCACGAAGTTCATATCGGAGATCGACAAGGGGTATTTAGTCAATTCGGCGATACGCGTGCATTCGTATGAGCGCGCGTATGTCCTCCTTGACAATCATATAAAGGAAAATGAAATTAATGGGAGTGGCGAACCGCGCGCCTCGTTGTCGAAGATCGAGAATGGGATATCGAAAGAGGAAGTAGGGAAGATGTGCTTAGTTTCTTATAGACTAGGGAAGTTCCAAGAAGCGGAGTATTGGAAGAGAGAGTCGCTCAATTGGATATCCGTTGACCAACGCCCTGTCGATGTGAGGTGTGACGAGAATAATATTGACTTTCCGATGGAGTGTACGGAGAGTGAATTGACGTTGCGGCGAGTCGTGAGGAGTGGGATGAATAGTGTTACACCGATTAAGATGAAAACGATTGAAGAAGAGAATTGGAAGAGTCTTGAGTTTCAAGACATAGGAAAGTTGTTGGTTCAATACGACGAGAATGCATTTAAAGAACTGAGTGACACGTTGTCGGAGAGGTTGTTTGAAGAGCTTGCGAGTTCATATGAAAGTGCGTATGAGACTTTAAAGAAGCTACATATCTTGTATGATATTCAATACTTCAACTGTGTCAATGTCAACAACAGTAGTAACACTATAAATACTCTGAATTCAATGAAAAGTAATATCAGCAATACACAGAACACATTTGCGAGAGTGAAACCAACACCAAAATATGATGAAGATATCAAAGTCAATTACTTGTATTTGGAAAAGCGTCTTGAGATGTTTGGGAAGTCACTGAAGAACGCGGAGACGATACTCTTAGTGCACGGAGGTCTGTTACTGAAAGAACTCCCTGTTAAAACACACTTTTTCACACAAACCCTCGCACTATCACTCAACGAAAAAGACCAAAGGTGCAAGCAAACGATCTTAAATGTGTGTTTGAAGCTCAGTAAATTGGCACTTCACGACAAGAAATTTGAGAAAGCTCGACAGTACTGTTACACTGCAGGTAAAATGGCGAGGGAGGAGTCATGTTCGCCACAAAAGTTTTGGGTGTGGATGACGCAGTGTATCATCGACCACAAGCAGAACCCGAGTTTTGGGACGATCAAGACTCTTGAATTTTTGTATCACAAAATAGTTTCTTCGAATGTCAAAGATGACGAATTGAAGTCACGGATAGCGTTGAAATTGGCGATGTTGATGGAGGAGAACCACATGTGTCGGGAAGATGTCATTCAGTGGTATAAGAAAGCTGTCGGAGACCGGGTCGAGCCGTTTGGGATCTTACGGTCGAACCAATTGATGACAAAAGGGTTTTATCGGTATGGGAGGTATTTAGATGACACGCGCAAAGAGAATGAGGAGAGTTTTGAAGTGTTGCGGTGTTATGTATTTTCATTAGAGAATGGGTTTAAGTTCCATTATGAAATAGTACCGAGGATATTAGTGTTAGCGAAGGAGTGTGTGGGGAAGCGTGACTCGAAATTAGTGAATCGCTTTATGTATAAGATCGTTGATGAATTTCCGCGATATATTTGGTACCCTTTTCTGCCACAAATTATTACACAAATGCAGTCGAGTTCATTCAAAGAATCGTTTATACGGAAGATATTAGTTGAGACATTAGCGAAATATCCCGATCAAGTGTGTTGGCATATGGTATATTGGTGGATGGAGAATAACGAGAATGCGAGTGTAGTCTTAAAAGAGGCGAAAGATATTAATGCGAATGTGAAACGGATAGCGAATGAGATGAAACTGTTCTGTTCGTACCTCTCTGAATTTTCTTCTGATAAGACGACGCACGGGAAACTAGAGATGTTGTCTGCGAAGAACACACACGTCTATTCGCGAGTTAAAGATCTGTTCACGACGAATTGGAAGAACTTAATAGTACCGATACAGAAGAGTATGACGATTAAAGTCCCCAATTCATACATCGAAAGTGACTTCTCGCCGTTTGAAATGAATCCGCCAAAGATCAAAAGTATCAACAATTATTACAACGTATTCGCTTCATTACAGAAACCAAAGAAGATCAATATCCTCACATACAACGAAAACGTTTCATTCAATTTCATATTAAAGTCGGACGACGATATTCAAAAGGATAAAATGGTCGAGGAACTCTTCGGAGCACTCAATCACTTGTTTGAAACATCCCCACAGACGTCGATGTTTGGCGTCAGTGTGCGGACGTATTGTGTCTTCCCTATCGCGAACTGCACGGGCCTCCTCGAGTTCGTGTCAAACACAATTCCTATTAAGAAATTCATTGCAAATCGCCTCCCGACGTCAAGTGACGTGAAGGCAATGACCGACAAACGACTGACAAAGGAAGCGAAAATCAGAGAGTTCAAGAGGTATACATTAAAGCACAGCGGAGTGTTATATGACAAATTTAATGAATGCTTTAAAACACCCCACGCACAGACGGAGGCTCGGTGTAACTATATTAAGACCACTGCGGTGAATTCGATGGTCGGCGCGTTGATTGGGATAGGCGATCGACACTTGGAGAACATTTTATTAGATACTAAAGAGGGGGGAGTCGTTCATATTGATTTTGATGCCATTTTCTTTAAAGGATTATTAATGAATGTGCCTGAAATAGTCCCATTCCGATTCACATTGAACATCAGAGATTGTCTTGGTGCTACGAAAGATGAGGGGCTCTTCTTAGATGTGTGTACTGCAGCTCTAAGTGTGTTCAGACACCATAAAGACGTTGTTATGACATTTGTGGAAATCTTGTGGAACTATATGAAGGGGAAGAAATCATCAAGAGACGCTGTCGTGTTGGGGAAGAGCGATATCCAATTAAACCCAATGGAAAATGTTAACAACTTTCTGGAAGGAAGAGTAGACGGAATGGTACTCTCTGAAAGATCACAAGCTCAGTACTTGATTAAACAGGCGAAGTCCGATGAGAATTTGGGGGTCATGTATGAAGGATGGTGCCCTTGGGTGTGAGCTGTTTTATTTATAACTTTGATTTGGTTTTATTATTATAATGTATTCGAGAAAAGGGACAACAGAAGGTCAAATTCTTGTACAGATGTTTTTTAAACACACGTTTTACAGAGGAAGTTTTATTAAAAAGAAATGAAACTGCATATAGTTTTAATTGTAATAAGATAATCAATTGAAGGCCACTTTCTCACACCACTCATTTTTAATACCAAAACTCATTATATTCAACCACAAAATTTTCAAATGAATTGCAAGGAAGGAAATTGCGCTTCGCTAATAAACGTGATAGAAATGAACCAATACCATAAGTTATAAGAAGAACACGAGGAAGACGATAGCAAAGAACAAGACGACGAGGAGACTTTTGACGATCAGCCCTCTGTTACTCGACACAGCTTTAAGAGCGTCTTGCAATTGTGAATGACCTTCTTCTACATTAAAAACAGCTTGTTCTGTGTTTTCATCGATTCGTTTGACCATTTCCTCTTGTGTTGTGACCAAGAAGGTGATATGGTTGTATAACCCTAACAAGTCATTTAACATCCTCTCGATCGATTGAACGCCTTGGACACGCTCTTCTAAGTGTTCAGTGCTCATAGTGAGTGAAGTCGACTGGGGGATGTCGACCTCGACGTTTTGGTCTGTACCCAAAGGCTCGTCGTGGAACGAGAACCCCGTCATATTCCGTTGGTACACCCCGCTATTCTGTCCCGGTGCGATGTACTTTTCTTTTTTCTCTTGCTGCGCTTTGATCGACTCCGCACGAATTTGTAAAACGTCGGTAAAACTCTTTGTCGTGTTCTTTAAGAGGTAGTCCAAGTGTTTACAAACAACGTCGCGATGCGCTTCCGTCTGATTTGATGGAGGATATTTACTGTGTAAATCAAGAGATTGCTTTTGCGCATTTTTCATGTCCAAATTCACCCGCTGTAAGTCTTGATGGATTTCACTCGTCAGGCGTTGGATTTGCATCCCATTTTGCTGCTCTTCAAACAGCGACTTGGACTTCGCAACTGTAAGTTAATACTTATTAATATAATTACTATATTTATGAATTAAATATACACTTTCTATTCAGAACTATAATGTTGTTATTCCGTATACTAATATCCTCTTGAAAGGAAAATATTAGTATGTTATTAATAAGAATAAAAAAACAAACGCTCGGTCAACTTCGTGAGCTTCGCAGCTATTTTGTTGATATTGGCAAAGAGCGAAGTTGTCGTTTTGTTAAAAATTTTTATATCATTTAACATCTCTGATTTGGTCGGTGGGGCGGACTTAGAGCGACTTAAATCATAATCCGATCCGGTTTTCTGTTGAACAAAACGACGGAACTGAGGGGTTCGGTCAAAGACATTGTTTGAAACTCCAAGCATTTTTAACACAAAAGAGTTTATGGGGTGACTTTTTTTTATCCCGAAAATTGACGTCATTTTGACTTTTTTATCCACATCGTTGATGTTTATTATTATAATTAAATGTATTATATTATTTGTAATATAAATTATAATTAGTTTATTTTATATAAATTATAATAATATTATATACTGTTTCTAGTATTGTTTTATAAAATATATCAACATATATAATAATTTTATAGAGTATTAAAAATACTAAAAAATTAAATTATATAGTTAAATAATTATTTAAGTTATATAAAATAACATTTGTGTAGTTATTATATAGGTTAAATTGATTAAAATTTAATAATTCTTTTTTATTTTACTTTTATCAAGTTAGTGAAGATAAAACAAACCATTAACCAAGAAAAATAATGTATTTAAAAAAATAGTTAAACTACTTCATAGTATAGTTGTTTTTTTACTAATATTATCAAAAACAATCTTGTATTTTAACCAGAACCACAAAAATATAATTATTTAACTGATCTTTCAATAGTTAAAGTATTATTATTAATAATTCCATGAAAATTCTTAAATTACTTTTTCACTTCAACTTTTATTGTTGGCATATTTAGCTTTTCTTTCCAAAAAATGAATAATTATACTAAAATTCATTATAGTTTGAGCAATCTTTCCACAAAAAAAAATGATTCCAAATGAGATAATCTCAATCTTTAGGCAGAATGAATGGATGGATAAACCCGGATTTTAGCAGGAAATTGTGAGTAAAAACAAGAAGGGGATACAAAACAACAAAAATTACGCTGCAACACCTGTTCAGTTGTCGCTCTCCTTACCCTCGGACTTTTTGTCGTCGTGTCTGACGACTCTGTTCACCTCGGCCTTCTCGCGACTTTCTTCCGACTTAGTGTATTCCTCATCCACCTTATCCACAATGTCCTTCTCTTTCTTCATGTTCATGTACTTCTCCTCCATGTTTATCAATGTTTGTTTGTTGTCATCCCAAATCGTTTGCATGATCTTTGTGTAGCTCTGAGGAATCTCTTGCTGCATTGCCAGCTCCATGATCTCACTGAACTCTTCGGCTCCGCTGGTTGTCCAATACACAGACTGGTTGCTTTCCTTTCCGCGTTTTGTATCGATCACGAGAAATTGGTTGTTACCGTTCTCGACGATTCTTGTTGTCGCCTCGCCGTAAAACATCGTCATACCTTCAAAATCGATTTCTGTCCTCCAAACGACTTTAAATAAAATTGGTGACAACTCAACAAAACAGAGAGTGCCAATTTCGTTTGAAGAAACGCATTTCCCGTCTTTAATTGTGCATCGACCACACTGTAAAGTGGCTAGAACTTGTTGTCTTGAAACTATAGGAACTGGTATCATCATGACTTTATCATCTGTTGGGTGGGAGACAATTTTGCACGATATGAATTTGCCAGCCTTAGATTCAGAGGGGACTTGGCCTGCTTTCATATGTGGGAATTGTCTTCTTGGTTTTCTTCTTGGGACGATAGCGATGCCTTCGGACATTCTCATTAAGAGTCTGTCGTAAGGCCGCTTTTTGTTTAAGTCGTTTTCGGTGACGGTCCATCCGCGCGATTGTCTTCGAGCCAACGATCGGACCAACGTTCTAGTGTGGCTAGTAGGAGTCAAAACGTCTCCAAGAAGAACGAAGTGGATATGGAAGTTACGAAGGGTTTGCAACTCATTTTGTCGTAAGACGACATCCGAAAGTGCTTCTTCCGAAGAAATGAATGAGACGATATGGACGGAGTCCCAAGCTTGTTGTCTTGCGACAAAAAGTGATTGTCGCAAGCTTCTAAACGGGTGTGGAGGGGCGGAGGTCGTCTTCAAATTTTCGAGTTTGTCGATGGCAGTCCGATCTTTAGTGGGTGATATTGCCAAAGTCGATGTGGCGTCTTGAATGATCACCACATAATACGTGTAATAATTTGTCTTCAGAATGGTCCGGATCGCTTCTACTATGTGCGACAATCGGTTCGGCGCATAGTCTTCATTATGAAGACTCCCGACCGCCTCGACGTTGAACACACACAAATTCATGTTTGATTATCCTGATCTCAGTTTTTTTTTCTTCTCCCTTTGACTTCAATTACCTATTTCCTCCTCATCTTTTTCTTGTCGATTATTGCTTGGTATTTTCCTTTTTATTTTCGTGTCAATTCGGGATTTCTTCCCTTTTTCCACGAATTAAGTTTTTTGTGTGATTTAAATTTTTTTCGTCACTTTATTTGCGGATCTATTCCCATCTCTCCTTTTTTCTTTTTTTCTTTTTCTTGTGCGCGAGGATGCCCGTTGCTAAACTCATAAGAATTGAATCTTTTTTTTGGATCTTGATAATACGAATGGAACGCAATTCTGAGAGGAGAATAACAATTTGTGTTGAATTTTTAAAGGGTTTTGACAAAAGTCAATTTGGTGGATAAAAAAAAGAGTTCTATTTCCGGTTGACTAAAACTTGTAAATATTTAAACATTTTTGTCGTAAAAATACGGGATTGTTATGAAAACAAAACCACTTTCCCATGTAATTTTAGCCTGTCATTTGGGTAGATCGTTATTATATTTATAGTTTATTGTATTAATTAAGTATGGTTTTTTAATACGTCATTGAACATTTTAATAGAATAAATATAATTTTTTTTACTAGACTATTTTCTCCCCTCATCTTTCTATTTTGTTTCAAAGTATTTATATAAAAATTATAATTATATAGTAAAAATTAATAAATTCTTTTTTACAATAAAACGAATTAATTATAAATAGATTCAAGCACAGTATAGTTCCTTGAACTAAGATAAAAAACAAGAAAAAAATAAAAAAATAAATTCTGATTTCGTTAACCGCATTATCGCATAATTGACACCATTATTTTGTTTTTAGCATCAATATAAATATCTATTACAACTATGTAGTAAATAAACTATTTTTAAACTATAAAAAACGCATTAAAATTTTAATTAACCAAACAATAACAAATACATCAAACTTGTTGGGAGAATTGTGTTGTTGAATATATCTATATTAATAAGGACAATTAATACTAAATTTTCGGGGAAATTAGAAGTCATAACTTATGACTTTTGTGAAATTGAAGACAATCTATAATTAAATAATCAGGTAAACCATATGTATAATAAAAAAATATTATAAAATTTAAATTGTTTTTTTAATAAAAATAATTAATAATATTTATTATAGTTAAAATCGTTACAATAAATATTGTAACGATTTTAAATTTGATAAATTTATTATAACAATTAAATTTATTAAATGTTTTTTTTTTATTTTTTTAATTTATTTTTAAACTAAATAAATAATGAAATTATATAAATACAATAAGAAAACTTTTCGATTTTAATACATTTTGGAACTATAAAAAACTGCAAAATACTCACAACGTAAGAATGGATAAAAAAGCTGAGAGAGAGCGCGAGAAGTATGAAAAAGATCGGAAAGAGTGGCAAGAGAAAGAAAAGAAACTTAAAGAGGAGATTTCGAGTTTGAAAAAAAATAAAAAGACCTCTTTTTTTGGTAAAAAGGATGACTCTGCAAACGAAGCTGAAAAGGCTCAACTTGTGAATGAGGTTCAAGAACAAATGGCTGAAGAGTACCGAACTAAATTTGATACTATGAAAGAAAATACACGAATGATGTTAGACCAGAATACCCAACTTGAAGAAAAGTTAAAAAAGAAAGATGAATTAATAGATCAACTCCAACGTTCGATGGCAACGAAAGGTGTAAACTGGGAAGCCGTTAAAACATCATTAGAACAAAAGATTGACACAACAACTCAAACAATTCAAACTGAAACTCTGAAAAAAATCACAAAAGAAAATTCAGACCCATTGACAGGAACTATAAATGCTGACGCGGAAAAAATTGTCGCCACGTTGCAGAATATTCTCCCAGAAATCATCGCCCAAATCAGAAAAGTCGTGATTTCAAATCTGGAAAATGGGCGGAACGAAAGCGACGAACAGTCAAAAGTCACGGAACTCACGGAAAAAATCGTGAAAATGGAAAACGAAAAAATTGGGAAAATTTTGATAACAAAAAACGAGATCGAAGAACTAAAAATGAACATCGACGCATTTGATGGGAAAGAGAAAAACTATAAAGAAACTATTGACAAACTACAAAAAACAATAGCTGACAACGAGGCGCTTTACAAAGCAAATATTGAAAGCGAGATTGAGAAGGCTCGGAACGACGCAATTGAAAAAGCCAAAAGTGAAAGCGAAGAAAAGTGGAAAAATGAAAACGATGAACTTAAACAAAAGGAAATCACTCTTCGAGATATGTTAGATAAAAATAATTTGGAGAACGAAAAAAACAAAAAACAATTAGAGAGTGATAATGCTCTGATGAGCGAACAAAAAGTAGCTTTACAAGTAGAACTCAGTGATCTTAAAAATGAGTACCAAGATTTACAAAAGCGGAACGAGGAGCTGGAAAGTGGAAAGAAGCTTGCGCAAAACATTGAAAATGAGATGAACGATCTCAGAACTCAGAAACAAACAACAGAATTGCGAGTAGAAGAGTTACAAAGTCAGAACGATTATTTGAGTGGTGCAGATGAAGAAAACAAAAACAAAATTCGCGAAATGCAAGCAAAAATTGATGAAGAAGAAATGAAAAATCAAAAAAATGAGATTGTGATGACCGATCTGAATAATAAAAATCAAACGTTGCGGAACGAAAATGAGTTATTGATGAAACAAAAAACTGAAATGGAAACAAAGAACGCTGAGATTGAGAAAATCGTAACGGAGATGGTCGAAGAGAAGAAAAGGAATAATCTCGAACGCGAATCTCAAGAAAAAGAAATGAGAAGTGAGATTGAGAGATTGCAAAAAGAAAGTGCAGATAAGACGAGGGAAAATAAGGAAGTCCAACAAAAGATGAAAGAAAATGAAGAAGTGATGATGAAGAGAGTTGTTGAAATGAACAATAGTAAGAGTGAAAGTGTCATGAAGTACCAAATGGAAATTGATGGGCTTAAGAAGGATTTGTTGGATGCGAAGAAGGACAAAGAAGCTATATTAGAAGCGAATATGAAATATGCTGTATTACTTTCCGCTTCGAGAGCCGCCGAGGAAAGAAATTTGAAAGAAAAAACGGAGAAGAAAAACGCAAGCAAATACACATCGATCGATAAAACGAAAACACCAAAGGCGGTTGGAGAAGAACAAGTCATGGTACTTGGAGAGAAGATTGGAGAGTTACAAATGGAGAAAGCGGGGTATCTTCAACATATAGAAGAATTGGAGATGGGTATGATTAAGAAAGAGGAGGAACTTATGATGTGGAAAGGACAAACAGTCGGACAATATCTCAGATCGACGTTTGGTAAAGCGATGAACCAGAAGGGGGTTAAAGACGTTGCAGCGCAATTCCAAAATGTTTTACAAGAAGTTGTCACAGAAAACCTTTCTTTGCGTTTGTTATTTGTATTATTTTAAATGTATGTTGTGGAACGATTTGATTTAACATTTATTGATTTGAAATGAAATATAACGACTCACGAAATTTGACAGAAAGAGAAGCAGGTTGAAGACTTAACGCGACAAGTAAAGAAAATGAATAAAGAGACTGAGTGAATGAATTTTTTGTTCGAACTATTAACATATCAGAATTAAATAAATAATTCAACTACAGATACAGGAAAAACCAGGGACCAAATCATAAACCAGGGACCAGACTAAATTAACCCTTTTTTTTGGTAAATAGTTTCCTTGTTATGGAAAAATCCCCAAATAATCAGGTTTTTGGAGGATATGTTGGTTTATTTTCAAAAACCAGTAACCAA